TCATTGGAGGTGGGGGCCCAGCAGGAGGGGAGCACTGAGGCATCTGAACCCCAGGGCTGCCTGTGCGTTGCCCGGCACGGGGCCAGGAGTGGTTCTGCATTGTAGGGTGAGGGCGAACTGGGAGAGCTGCTGACTCACCTGCAGAAGGTAGCAGTAAGAGGGAGATTCCTGGGGCTGGGGGAGTGTGACTACAAGGGAGATCCGGGTTGCCTAAGAGTAGAGGTGTTTTCAGGAGATCCAGAGCGGTTACCTTTACTCTGTCCTTCATGTCTTGTGCCACTGCCTTGATTATTATTCTAACAATTCTCACCATAGTGTTGAAGCTAGTAATAATTAATGCTTGACATCCTCCCTATAGTCTGTGTCCTCTCAGTATTAGCCTCCTTGTCAGATTGCATTTCATCGTATTTTCCCCCATGTCTCCAACAATTGTGGTTGATTGTTCGCTGCAAAACTTGATATTCTTTAACCAAAGTTACAGCATGACTTTACTGATTGGGCGGGCACACTGCTTTCCATCAAGTTACTACATTGAAGTGTAAAACAAGACACAAAGTTCGCCCTGAAATTGACTATGGGCTAACAGAATACACAGGAAAACAAATGCAGACAATATAGGAATATTACTAGGAAAAAAAGGGGTGCCTCAAAAAAATCAGTTTAGCTATCATGATTTGAAACATCCCTAACATTATGCTTTGACGACACTAGGGATGTAAAATCTCAGTTAATCTGTTGACCAGTTAAATGCTATGGGAGCAGATGGGGGGAGGTATGGTCTGCAGGGGGTGAGCTGGAGCACCCCCTGCCTGGAACAGGCCCAGCAGGGCTGGAGCAGTCCCTTGCCTGTGGGGGGTTATTCCAGCTCCACATTTAACCATTCACATCTCTGGACTAGTCTAGGATAAAAGTGTCTTTTTAGAAATATGTTAATTAAAATATTTTAATGATTTAAAACTCTAGTGTGAACAGAACAAAAATAATTTTCCCTGCTAAAGTGTTTTTTTGGGGGGGGAAAAGTCTTTTATCCTAGAATAGAGAATATTTTGATGTAATACAGTGGCTCTGGAATCTTGTTAGCTGGTCATATAACCCACAATTGTCAAGGTGTTGAACTGTGTCTAAACTGGGTGTTAAATGAGTGTTTCATGTCATTTTAATTAATTTGAATTAGAGAATGTTGATGAGGCAGTATCTTTTGGTGAGAGTCAAGCTTACACAGAGCTCTTCTATGACAGAAGTTGGTTCAGTAATAAATACTGTCTCATGCACCTTGTGTCTCTAATATCCTCTGACTAACATGACTATAATGCTGCATACATAAATTGAATTGGGCAACTTGGGAATTGTCTACAGAAGGATAGCTGGAAAAAGTAAATCCAAACTAAAGTGTGAATTTGAAGTTAAGACATCTAATCTCTGCGTAAGTCTTCTAGTACATACTATGTGGGAAATTCCTTGGATGTTGCATATTTCAAATTCTTGGGGCAACAGTTAATGAGAAGGTTTTATTTTTTTTAAAGCTTATGGCCAAATATATTAGTCATTAAGATGCCACAGGACTCCTTGTTTTTGCTGAAACAGACTAAAGAGGCTACCCCTCAGATAATAAACACGGTGCTCCTGACTGAAGGGAGTTCCTCCTGCAGGTTTCATTTACTTTTGTTATACACAGGTGTGACTGAAATCAGAATGAGTCATTTATTCTACCTTATTGTTCACTAATGTTAGTGTAGCTATAGTATCTATAGAACAGGGTTATTTGCAGAGACAGCTAACTAATCAATTAATGAGTAGGCAGATGGCGAGTTGATGGCTATTGATGACTTATTACACCTACAAATTGTATACCCAGCCAGACTATGAAAAAACAGGGTAGTTTTATTGTTTGCTTTTTCTCCTCTGTGTCCCTTGAAGCTACCACCTTATTTGTTTCATGTAAGGTATTTAAATACATTAGCTATCACATTTTAAAAACATTTTTTTCCTAATTATAGACTTTTTGGGGGGCAGAGACTATATTCACTCATTACCTTTAAACAGGGCTTACCGCAATGGGGCATTTTGCTGCTTTTGGTCTCTAGTACTGTTGTAATACAAATAGTATAATGTAGGAGTGAAAGAGATCTTGAAGATTGGGGAACTGAAGAAAGTACAGTCTGCTTTGGAAGAGGACTAGTGCAAAGTGTATTAGTGAATTGTTAAAACACAATTGTAGTGCTCACACAAGAGGAATGGAGCAATCTGGTACAGGTAGGTTCACATCCCAACTTGCCACAAACTAAATCCTCATGTAGACAGGTTCTTTGAGTTGTGTATATATACCAACATTTCCACTATCAGTAGAACTGAATGGTGGAGCATTTTGTCAGTAGTGCTGAACTGGCAGTGAAATAAAAACCTGAATCTTGTTAGTGTAAATAGGGCTGCTGTGAAGCTGTTGAGGAATGGGTTTGTATCCCCTCTTTGCCTCTCCATTTTAGGCAGGAGCAGAAGTGACAGAAAATTAGGGTGGGAGGAGATATGAATTCTTCAGTTTCTTCCAACAAACCTTGAAAGTAATTAGCTGCATGCTGGCACTTCACCAAAATAGATATGTTGCTGCAATAATTAACTCTATGATTATTAAAGCAGAACCATCAAGTTAATGTGGATATTTTTTCATTCTGTGCTCTGGCTTTAGTTTTAACCTTTTGGGGGCAGTTAATACATCTGAGGCATAGTTTCAGGGTTACAACAGAATTGGGCACAGTCACTGCATAACTTTTCATTTACTTCATATACTGATGGGTTTCATCTCAACCATGAGGATGAAATCAAGTCTTTACTGATTTAAAATTAAACTTGTAAAGTTAATGGGTTGCTGCTAGTAAAACATTTAATACCAGCAAGTATAAATTAAGATGAGACACCTGTTTAATAGACAGAACAATGGTGTGATAGCTTTAAAATTTTAAGTTTTGCCTTCAAACATACATTTAAGAAAAGTGAATGGGCAGTACCTGAAGTTTTTGTTGCTGAGATTCTTATGCATATACAAAATCAGATGTCATATTCAGGATGACCAAGATCCTAAATGAGTAATGCTTTTAATTGATCATCTTTGATATTCATGTATAGTTGCCAGTCAGTATATTAGACTTGTCATCTCAGAGTGTGTCTACAGTGACACAGGTATGACACTACAGTTGTAGAATGGATGCTTCTTACATCAAGGGAAGGGTTTTTTTCCCATTGTTATAGTAGGTAGTAACTCATTTCTATGAGAGGTGGTAGCTAAGCAGATGGAAGAAATCTTGTGAACTAGTGGCATCTCTGGTGGGAAATGGGGAGTATTTTTATCTAGCTACATTGCACAGGGTACAGATTTTTTTCACTGCCCTGAGCAATGTAGCTGGTTCATCTAACTTTTAGGTACAGACCAGGCTTTAATGTAGAGTTGTGTGATATTATTTGGGCTCTGCCTTAAACATAACAGTAAAAACAAAAAATATTTGCACAGAATCAAAAGTTAAATGTATTCAGAACACGATGTCACATTGGAGCATGTTACTTAAAGACAGAAATAATTACATACTGCCCGGCATGGTCTCTCACATAAGTACATCTGAAAGGTCACTTTCATTCCTCTCTTTAAAACTATTTGGTTAAGCATTGTCTGATATTTTTGTAAATTATCAGGTCACAAATTTATACACTTAACAGAATAATTTGAAAGTTTCATTGTCTTTGTCATTGTGATTTCTATCTTACTCAAATCAGATGCTTTTATTGTAGTTTGGAGCTGAATTTCGAAGATTTTCTCTGGAAAGATTGAAACCTGGAAAGTTTGAGGAGTTCTATGGATTATTGCAGCATGTGCACAAGATCCCCAATGTTGAAGTTTTAGTTGGATATATAGATATTCATGGAGATCTGCTGCCTATCAACAATGATGACAATTATCATAAAGCAGTTTCCACAGCCAATCCTCTGCTCAGGGTTTTCATTCAAAGAAAAGGTAAGTTAACTAATTTTATTTATTGATAGTGCCTACTATGTACAAAGCAATATCTGTGCATGTGGTCATGTATTTTGCCCCAGTCTAATTTTTTACAAGTTCCAATTTATCATCCCATTTCTCCATGTTGACTTATGTGCTGACTTCTTACTGATATTCACTAGGACTCCCAACTGTCCTCAACAGGCTGTTTGGAAACATGTTGTGCACTATTGCTGTGGGGCTCAAGATTCCCTTCTGTTTGATTACTCTTCTACTAAGCTACATTTCTTATTGCATTTGGAAATGTCTGTAATGTGTTGATTTAAACTCCATTCAGCACACCAAAAATCTTTCTAAAAAAATTCCAAATTCAGAATGGAAATTTATCTTCTCCTACACCTTTCTTTCAGCAACAGGTATAATTTCCAGGTGCAATTTTTTGGTCTTATCCTTAAACTCTTATGCTCTTTCTCATGGAGGAAAACTGAATATTATGTTGTCAGATATGTTCTTGTCCTGTAGCAAGTTGTTGACTGTTTAACAGAAGGAAACTGAAAAGTGCTACACCTGTGATTCTAGTTGGTTTTCTCTGGATTCAGACAGGCTCATGATCCTCTCTGTAAAGCTTCTCCTTCAATAGCAGGAGCACATTTTTACATAGGATTCCTTTGTTGTTGCATAAAACAAAGTTCTGTTGCACCAATCAAGTTGACTGAATTTTAAATAGAGGGATATTTTGTTGCATGTGAGTTAAGCTTTGCTATCTTTAGTAATTTATTTTAAAAGACCAATAAAACAGATTTTTCTTACAAAAATAAATATTTGATTTTTTCCACAAATAGAACTCTTTAGAAAATGTTTTAGCTGAAATGTTCCTCTTTCCTAACAGAACTTTTAATACAATTTGTCTTTTGCTGTCTACTATGTTGCCATTAAAATGTATTTCCTGTATTTAAGTGTTCATGGAACAAGTAAAGACTCTGTGATTCAATCTTTAATTGGCAGGAGCTGGACTAGGTGACCTGTCTCTATGTAAGCTCCTTCAGCAGCCATATGACAAAAAGCAGATAAACCATTTTGTCAGATTGAGATGATTAAGGTTGTATTTTAGCACCCCAGATTTTGTTACCACAGTTGTACATGCCATTCCTTGTACGCATGTTAAAATTAATAAATCATGGTATGTAGCTTATTTTGCTGTTATCTGGGCCAAAGTATCTCCGTACTAGGTATTGACCAGTTTTAAAGTCACTCTCATACGTGGTCAGCTGGAAATACTATAGCATGCAGACATTGCCTTTCTTCCTCTTTTCCATTCTTTGATACCATTCTTGTAACTTCATGTGTGAGCTGCAGAAAACTAGGAAATAGACCTCCAAGTTGTTCCCAAATCTGGGTCTTGAAATCAGTGTGACAGCCAGTATTTATATTTTTATATTGTACCAATGTGATTAGTTTGAAAAAGTTTGTACTGAAGGGTGAGAGAAACCTAAAATGTGTTGTTTAAAAAAAGAAGTTTAACAACTCAGGCCTAGTTGCATGATACTGAAAACTACCCAAATTCATGCAGTCTAGTTTCTGATTTGTTTTATTGCTCAGTTAGGAGTATTTATACACTATTTTCTGTTTCCATAACTTTTATCTGCACTTCAGTGGAAATATCCACCATTGACAAGGCTGCTTCAGTTTGTCACTTCTGAAATTAGAATTTGTTGAGGGGAAAAATTACACTTGTGTACTGCCACCCCTTTTTGAGACCTTTATCTTCTGTAACATTGTTTGTATTACAGACAAAATCTGTAGTTTATATCCAATATACCTTAAGCAGAGATAGTGGGGAGCAATAAGACCCTTAGTAGACCACCACCACGAGAGAGGAAAAATAAGCGTTTCTTAAAACACCTGAAAGTCTAATCTCAGTACCTTGCTTGTTTAGAAATTGATATGTATTTTAAATGAGATGGTAGAATTTGAGGGAAATACCCATACCAAAACCTGACATACTTGTAAGTAGAGCAGAACAGATTAGAATTCTGAGTGTTACAGTTAATATCCATAATGTAGCTAGATCCCCTTAATAAAATGTCAAAGGCCTTGGATTCACTAGGAAACCAGGGGGCTTGATCACATGTTAACCAACTTGAGGTTATGTTTAAATGAAGGCAAGGCAGTTTGAAGTTTTTAACATTATGAGCAGGTCGAGGTAAACATTGTGTTCCTGCTGGTGTTTACTAGAGAGATAAGCGACTAGTCAGCTACCCTATAAGCAAATACTTATTGGGTAGTTGAGTAGTACTCGACTAGTCACTCCCCCCGTTGCCTCTATCAGAGAGAGGTAGCAAGGGCAGGGAGGAGCATGAGCTGGTGCGGGGGGCTGGTTCCTCTCAGCATCGTCCCTGTGGGGAGCAAGGAATGCAGAGGGCAGCGGAGAAACAGCATGAATGGGGAACTGAAACAATCCCACTCTCGCTGGTCCAACTGCTGCTCCTCTCAGTTTGAAATACACAAGAGCCACCTGTGGCTCTATTACATTTCAAAGGAAGAGGCACAGAGGAGAACACATGCCAGCGGGGACTGCTTTAGTCCCCCCTTATCGACTAATTGAGTAGTCAATAGAAATTCCATTGGTTACTCAATTATCTGTTTAATTGAAATTTAACATCACTAGTGTTTACTTCAGCTTGTGAACAGGAGAAGACTAGAAACTGTTTTCTCACCTGGAATTTTATTATGTTAGGCCGGGTCTATACTAGACCTGGAAGGTCAGCTTAAAGTATGCAACTCCAGCTTCGTAAATAATGACCTACCTTAAACTGAGCTTGGTGCAGTCTCTACAATGGGAGGTTGATGGAAGCAAATGCTCCTGTCAGCTTCCCTTACTCCTCATGAAGTGTAGGCTTACTGGTGCCAATTAGGGGTGCCCTCAGCATTTGATTCAATGGGTCCTTATTAGACCCACTAAATCGAATGCCAGAAGATCAATCTTCAGCATGGGAAGTGGAGACATAGCCATTGCTAGGTAAGAGAACACTTTTTCTCCTACTATAGACGCACCCTAGCAGGGTGAGTTGTGTTGATTTGTTTTTATTTGTTTTATAATATCATCTAGCTCACTCCTATCTGCATCCTGAAGTTCCTTTCATGACAGATTATCAGGTATTGTTGATATCTTGGAAGAGGTAAAAGGGAATTCAAAGGCTGAACTGATGGTGCTTTAATTCAGTCAAAACGTATGGGAGTCTGTCAGCAAGAGAAACCTGACCTACAGGTGATACAAGTGTGAAGGCCAGCTGGGCATATCTTTTTGCCCTCTTCCACAATACAAGAACACAGGATACTCAATAAAGCAAAAGCCATACAGAAATACTGGGGGAGGGGAAGTTTATACTACTAAAAATTAATTTGTAGAATTCAATGCCACAGAATACTGAAGTAGCAAAGTGAAAATAAATGTACTATCTAAAGGTGAAGCGAGACTTAAGAAATCATTTAATTCTTCCTCGCTACTGCAGCCTTGTTCAGTATAGCGCTTCTGGCATTTGTGTTTACAGTGCAGAGCTTTCTTTTCTCCCTCCTTCTCTCCCCCCAGGGATGACTATTCCATGCTAGGGATGTTAAGATGTGGTTTATTATCTAATCAAGTAGTTGATAGAATTTTTACTGGCTACTCAATTAGTCAATAAGGGATGGCAGCCCGGCTCAGTCTTGGCTTGCACAGGGTCTGGGACCTACCCCTGCTGAGGCTCTGCATTTTAAATGTAGTAAGAGCCTGTCCATCCAGCTTAGTATGTTTAAACTGCAGAGCTGCAATGGGGGTAGGTACCCAGATCTGGCGCAAGCTGGGACTGAGTTGGGCTGCTTTCCCAGCCAGAGCGGCTTCTGTCTGGCTAGCCTGGGCTGCATGTGGTGAGCCTGGGACCCCCTGCAAATAGCGGCTGCTGCTGGAACAGCCTTCCCTGCCCCCTCTTCCACACTACCCCCCCACCCCCCCACCAGGTGCTGCTGTCTCTGATAGAGGCAGCAGTGTGGGGATGGACGGACACCATGGAGACTGTGCTGGGGGGACGGGCTTTTAACCCGGCTCCCCCCAGCACTGGCTCCTCCTTCCCCCTCCCCCCTTGGTGCCTCTGATACAGAGGCAGAAAGAGGAGGTGGGAGCAAATAGTCACTAGATTAACTGATAAGCCTAGACTTATCGGTTAGTTCTCACTTACATCCTGATTCCATGCCATAATAAATGTAGTTTTCAGTTACTCTGGCTATATGTTTACAGGTATAATCAATCTTCATGCTTCAGGGTATAGTCTAATAGGCAGCTAATGTCATGAACTAATTACATAACAAAGCATGACTGTATAATTCTAATCACTTCCATTATGTAACTAGCTGCAAATGTAATACTTCTTTGCTTCCACTTAATGCTTTCCTACGGAGGGAGGGAGAGAGAGAGATTGGAGACAAACTATCAAATTGTCTCTGGTACCCTGTTAATCCCATAAGCACTTAATTTTGGTCCTGCTCGATAATTGGTGGAATGAAAGAAGAGTTGGGTTTTAAATTATTTACTTTTTTTTTTTTTTTTTTTTTATTTTTTTTTTTGAGGAATATCTCTAGATGTTTTCCCATGCTTTCAGCATTTTGACACCCTACCTTTTCCTAAAATCCTGGTGAGAAACACTTGAATCCAGCATAATTACTGTCATACCTGTTTTTTTTTTTTTTTTTAAGGTTTGAAATGTCTCTAATCAATATTTAGGTCTCCATTCTTTTCTGCATGTCAATTCATAAATGTTAAATACCAATGTTAGGTGCATTATGATTGACCAAAAAAATCTTATTAAATTAAAAACTATTAAATTAGTTTTTCCCTCCTAGTATTATGGTACTCTAATTAAAATGTGTTCAGATGCTTATCTTTAGAAGCTTGTTGCTTGAAGGATAACTTTACCAATACATGCATTCCTTTGGAAGCATATCAGAGGGATTGTTGACAAATTGTGCAATTCCAGGTGTTGAAG